GTATATTAAAAAAAAAAAATACCTAAGCAGAAATTTACTGTTTTCAAAGAATTCACAATATAATATGGAAGCTTGAATAGTTTTGTGATTGTCTGAGTCAGTTATCCTTTTGGGATACCCCCAAGCTAGAACAAAATTGAACAGCATTTCCACATTTGCTTTCTAAGTAACCCCTTCAGTTTCCGAAGTATTGTTTCTCATTGTTTTCCTCTTTCAAACCATTCTTACATATTGGCAGTAGATTGAATTTTTTCTAAAAGTCTGACTCTACTTAGATTATTGCCTTACTCTAAACCCTTTCTTGGTGCTCTGATGTTTCTTGGATTAATACAAACATCTCTCCTGGTATTTTAGGTTTCAGCATGATTCTCTCCTATTATTCCAATCTTTCAAAAAGTAGTCTAGATTTCAGCTCCCTAGATTCTTCAATATACTTCTCTTTCTAAAGTTTTAAAACTTTACTCTTTTATTTTTTCTTAATTTTATTGGTATTTGGGTGAAAGTTTACAGAGCAAATTCACCTTCCATATGGCAATTCACTTAACACTTTGTCTCATGACATTGACTATAATCTTCCACGGTGCAACAGCCCTCCTCTCACTTCCTCACGCTAGCCACCTCTTCCCAGTGTCCTTCCCTCCCATGCACTCCTGCTCCCTGAGCTGTCTCCCTGTGCATACACAGCCCTTCTGTTCTCCCATGATTGATCTCTCCAAGGAATGTCTCTACCTAATGTAAATGTTCAGGTCATATGCCTGTCGTTTGTTTGGCTGGAAGCCACAGGACTGGGTTCAGTTCCATACCTGAAAGGCAGCTATGGGCCATAGTCTTGGGGGTTCCACCAGGCTCTATCAGAGCAGCAAACCTGGTCCTCTTTTTTTGTTTTTTTGAATGATTTCGAGTTTTCTTCCACATTGTTTTCCCACTTTACAGAATCTCCTACATAGGTCGCCCTCAGAGTAGTTGATGGTGGTAGCTGGGCACCATCTAGTTCTTCTGGTTTCATAGTTGTATAGGCTGAGGATCACATGGTGTACCAGTCCCTTGGGCTAATTATTTCCATGAATCTTTGGTTTTCTTCATTCTCCTTTGCTCTGGATGAGGAGAGACCCATCATTGCATGTAGATGGCTGCTGACAAGCTTTTATATAACTTTACTCTTGATTTTATTCACTTAAATGGAAGTAGAAGGGTTCATTGTTAATCATCTTCTCTCTGCCTTAGGCTCTTTACCTTTCTTTCAACTTGAATAGGCCTTTGTTTGCATTTTTTCTCTGACACTTTTTATATCTTATATTTAGGTTTCTGCCTGCTGGTTTCATTTTCTGTTTTATATTTTAAGCTACTTCGGATCGGGCCCAGCACCTTGTCTCCTTGTCTCTGTATCTTCTCTTTTATTAGGACATCAGTCGTATAAGATTAGGGCCCATCCTACTCTAATATGATCTCATGTTAACCTAACTGATAACATCTTCAATTACCCTATTTCTAAACATACTCAAGGTCATACTCATTGACGCAAGTGTTAGTACTTCAATATATCTTTACTATAATTGTGATTAGGGAGAAATTTTACAGAGAGAAATCATTTTCATTAAACATTTCATACACATTTTGTTCCATGACATTAATTACAGTCCCCACAGTGTAACAGCTCTCTTCCCTGTTCCTCCCGGTAATTAACTTTTCCCTGTGTCCTTATTTCCTGTTCATTCTTGCCCTCTGAGCTTTCTCCCTGTGCAGTTGCTACCTTGCTAATCTCCCATGGTTGATTGTTCGAAAGAGTGTAATTGTTTACCACATAGGCTGTCTGTTGTTTGTCTGGAAGCCGTGGCAGTGGGTTCAACTCCAGGCCCAAAGGATGACTAGGGGCCATAGTTTATGGGGTTTCAGCAGTCTCTGTCAGACCAGTGAGGTTGGTCTGTTTTATGATTTTGAGTTTTATTCCCCTTTTTTCTCCCACTTTATCCAGGATCACTGATTTTGATCCCTTTCTGAGATGCTGGCAGTGATAGCTGGGTACCTTCTAGTTCTCATCTCACGATCATGTAGGCTGAGGTTCCCATGGTCTGCTAGTCCCTTGGACTAATTATTTCTATGTGCCTTTGATTTTCTTCATTTTTCTTGGCACCAAATGAGGAGAGGCCAATTTTTGCATCTTAGGTGGCTGCTCATAAGCTTTTAAGATTCCAGTCACTACTTACCAAAGTAGGATGTGGAACAGTGTTTTTGTGTAGTATGTTGTTGAACTTGATGCCCCCTACGACCATGGTCTCAAGCCAATAGGCCCAGCAACTCACTCCTTCAAAATGTTTTTCTGTGGCTAAGAAGTTATCATAACTCTGCACCCTCAACATATCTTTTTTGGAAGACACAATCCATAACACCAATCACTACAAATAAGAATCTTTGTATAGATGTCCCTTTCACTCCCCTAGTCCATCTCAGGTTTTTAAAAAAATGGAAAATGTTAGTGAGAATCTTGGTGATGCCATTTTTCAATTTACCAATTCTTTGAATTACAGTACTCCAGCCAAGACCGATTACCCTCTACTTATGTACAGCTGTCATCTCAGAAGATACTAATGAAAGTTGTTTTGGAAGTTTTTTGTCCTACATAGGCTTTCTTTTATTTTTTTAAATGTGTGTTTTGATTGTTTTGTCTTTTCTTTATCTTACGTTAGATGATTTTCTCAGATAATCCTTGGCTATCTGCCTGTGGTTAATACTGGGGAAATATAAAGCAGATTGGAAGCTCTGATCTTGAGGGTGGGCCTTGTTGACTTTGAGCTTCGTTATAGGTTGATCTTGGTGACCTATACTGCCCCTTCCCCCACAATCATTTTCAGTATTTTTGTCTCTCCTTTTGGGCTGACTCGGAGCTTCCAGAGTTCTGCCTGAAGATGAAGACCAATATAAATTGGCTTCTTGGAGGGCAGCAGATATTGTGGGGTATCCCCAAAGATCACTCCAGTTTCAGTGATTCACTCGAAGGACTCACAGTATTCATCATACAGTCATACTCACGGCTATGGGTTATTGTACTTAATGTATGCAAAGCATACCGCATTTTTTTGCAAGTAACATGGCCATGGAAATGAGCACACGCATGTAATGCACATAGAGAGCATAGGAAACTACATGTGCAGGGGTTGTGTGATTTGCAAAAAGTCCATGTAATACATGCATTATTTGTGTAGTATTTTGGTAATTAGCAAAGGAAAAAGAGTGCAGTGTGAGGGAAACGCTACATAGGCTCCCAAGGGTCCTTTCTCACAGTAGAGTCACTTAGGATATGTTTAATTCTCCCAGCAGTGAGTTGTGACAACTAGAGAAGCTCATTAGAGACTTAGTGCCCAAGATTTTTATTGGGGGTTGGATTATCTAGTCATCCTCTGCCTAGCACGTATTCAAATTCCAGACTCACAGAAAGAACATTGTAAGCACTGTGAGCCCCTATTACCAGTTCTGGGAATGGTGGGAACTCTGCCGAAGTCCATGTTCCCAGACATCAGCCAAGGGCTAGCTTTGTAAGCAGACCTTTCAAAGGATAATAGGCCTGCTATGTTAACTCTTTTATACAGAGCAGGTCTCAGCATTCATGGAGTTGCTTCATTCCTTTACTTTTGGTACTCATGTCTCAACTGTGCCTGATGTCCTGTAGTCCAGAGAAACTTTTCTTGACCCCCAGAAAGAAGACCTTCACTCTTTTGCTTGGGTGAGGGAGAAGTAGTTACTAGTGACCTTGAGTAGGAAAGAGACCTACCTCTATCTCAAACAGCTTCCACCCAAATCCTCTTAACTTTAAGTCCTCCTTCTTTAATTCTAAAATTCTAGAAATTTTTTTTATTACCAATGCTTGAGTCTTTTGAGAATCCAGTGGTGCAAAAACAGGTTGGTTCTTAAGCGTTTTTTCTTATTGCCAATATATGATTCACTTTCTTTGAATCTTCTAAGTTACTTACCAGATGTGTATCTTGTTATAATAGCTTTCCAGATATTGTTACTGTTATCTCCTGTCATGTTTTCCTTGTCCTTATGTGTTTGTCTTTATAAAAATAATCTTTTAATTGTAATTAAGGTAGGAACTAAATTAGATAGTTTTGCTCAATCTGCCATACATCTATCAATGTTTTTAATTTATTAAATTTTGATTTAAGGGAAAATGTTCCACTTGGTTTCCATTCCTTCATTTCCTCCTCTTCTTCTCAAGAAGATGTCTCAAATAAGTGAAAGAATTAATTTAATTATCTAAAACGTTTTTGCAGAGATCTGTTCCTAGCCTGTGTTCCTTTACTAGCACATATAGCTAACAGTTATTAGATAGTGAAGATAAAACTTCTTCTATTTTTTCTGTTTACGCGTGAGAGTATACCTATGTGTGTGTGTGTGTGTGTGTGTATATATATATATATATTTTTTTAATATAGAAAAATCAATGACTTAGTTTTTTATAAATAAAAACTAAAATGTGAATGGAGAAAATTGTTATAAGTAAGAAGGGCAATTCTACCTTTTCTGAAAATAAATTTACCTAAACATCTCAGTCAGATTGCTGGCAACTATGTTCAGAAGTAGAACTCGTGCCTTCCGTTCAGGAGACCCAGGTTCACTTCCTGGCCATTTTGCCTCATGCATAGTCACTACCCATCTGTCAGTGAAAACTTGCTTGTTGCTATGATGCCAAACACGTTTCAGCAGAACTTCCTGACTAAGAGGGAGTGGGAGTAAAGACCTAGAGATCTACTTCAAAAATCAGCCATTGATAACCCTTTAGATCATAATAATCCGATCCACAGCCTATCATGGAGATGGCCCAGGACTGGGCAGGATTTTGTTCAGTTATGTATGAAGGCCTATTTGACAGCAGCTAGCAACATTAACAACAGTATTCTGACTTAATGATTTTTGATTATGCTATAGTTTGGTAATTTGAATGTGATTATATACCTTTTGAAGATTTTTTAAATAATGTTTTTGTGATTTCTTGTAATCTGTAGAGAAAGCAACAAGTGAGATGAATACTGCTGAGGACTGGGGTCTCATCTTGGATATTTGTGATAAAGTTGGTCAGTCTCGTACTGGGTAAGTATTGTAGTTTAAAATAATTTCTATTCATTCTTCCTATTTTATAGGTATAAAGAAGACAAGAATTAGGAATGTAAAGCATGTTATGACTGATACTTAGTTTAAAAAGGGAAAGTTTTTATAGGAAGATTTAAAGATATCATACCATTTAGGTTATTCCTTACAACAGTTGGGAGTTCTGGTGGTGTAGTGCCTTATGCATTTGACTGCTAACCAGAAGGCTGGCAGTTCAAATCCACCAGCCACTCCTTGGAAGAAAGGTTGGACAATCTACTTCCATAGTGATACCGCCAAGGAAAATCATGGAGGGCTTGCTGAGTCAGATCTGACTCAGTGGCAGTGAGTTTGGTTTTTGTTTTGTTTTATAACAGGGTAAAAATGTTAATGTTTAATAATTACCCTTGTCTGTATTTGGTTCATGAAATCTGGCTTTATTTGTTAATTTTTAGAGTAAGTTGTGATTTCTTAGGTACCAAATTTCATTTTGGGAGCTCTGGTCATGTAGTGCCTAAGGCACTTGACTGCTAACCAGAGGGCTGGCGGTTCAAACCCACCAGCCAGTCCTCGGAAGGAAGGTTGGGCAATCTACTTCCGTAGTGATACCGCTTCGGAAACCCAAGGTGGGGTCGCTATGAGTCAGGTCCGACTTGACGGCACATAACAACAACAACAAATTTCATGGTTATTTTTTTGGTTTTTCTCGTCTTAACACATCTGCAGCATTCCACCCAGTTTACCAGTGACTGTTAAAACAGAGGCAGATGAGGGAAATAGAGTGTGAAACTTTTTGCCCTGTATTATAGTGCTTCATAAACATTGTAACGAGTGTATTAACTGGTGTACAAATTAATGATTTACTTAAGTCTTGGGCTAATAACATCCAGCTATCAGTAGCCCTGTTTATCCTGTTATGCTACACAAATAGTATTGTTTGATTTGAGTATATTCCTGTTAAAAAGGTTGGGGAACACTGCTATATTAATTCTTCTGTTGTAATCTTAACCCTTTGATGGATACTTCTTTGTGTCTTCCTCCTGCTCTAGGTATCTTATGTAAATGACATGTGTATTGTCAGAGCCGATTCTTTTTAGCTAAGCACTAGTCCTGTGGACACAGCATAATTTCTGGGTATTATACTGTGTAAACTTTAATCTCATTATCTAGAAACCTAAACTCATATCTCTTCTTTTTTTAATCTACTTTTCTTCCTATGTTCACTTTATTTATTAATGGCAAGATTATTCTGCCATTTGCATTTGAAATCTCAGAGTTACCTCCCCATTAATTTTGGTGATACATTCTGTCATTTCACCTTCATAAATATCTCTGAAAAGGTTGATGTAAAAAACACACTGCCATTGGGTTGATTCTGACTCATAGAGACCCTGTAGGACAGAGTAGAACTGCCCCAAAGGGTTTCTAAGGCTGTAAATCTATATGGAAGCAGATGACCTCATCTTTCTGCTACAAAGCACCTGGTGATTTGAACCACTGACCTTTTGGTTCCAAGGAAAAGCAAACTCACTGCCATCGAGTCGGTTCCAACTCATAGCGACCCCTCATTGGGTTTCTGAGGCAGTAGCTCTACAGAAGTAGAATGCCCACCCAATCTTCCTTCCGAGGAGTGGCTGATGAGTTTGAACTGCCAGCCTTCTGGTTAGTGGTCAAATGCCTTGAGTGCCGAATATGTCTCCTTAAATTCTTTATCATGTGCCAAATCAGGCAGGGGTATAAGTCTGCCTTTCTACCCCTTCATTCTAGCCCTTTTTGGCTTCTTCTGTTCTCTTCCTGTCTGGTCCCCAAAGATTCTCCCGAGTGTGGCCTCATCCCTTTGTGGTGATTACATTTTAGTATTTTAAACCTTGTTCTTTCTGACCCTGTTAGTTTACTAATTTAACTAAAATTTTAGCAACTGCTGTGTGCCACATATCTATTCCTTTTTCTCTATTTCTCTTGGCCCCACTTTACTTGAGACATTTCTTACCATGCCTAGACTAATAAATTTAATCTCTGATATTTCTTTCCATTTCAGTCTCTTTTCTGCCTAATTCTTATATCCATTTGCCCTGTAACAGCTGTGGCCATGATACTTCCCACTTCCCATACTAAGCTGAAGGTCTCTACTACTCTGAATCATAGACAGTATTTTTCATTTTCTTAAGTATTTTTCATTTGCTTCTCTCACATAAAACATTCTTTTCAAGTATGTGAGTTGCTTTCCTACCTTAATTTATTGCCTTTGCTTATTCTTTTCTTTCAGTGTGGAATACTTTTCTCTTTTATTTTCTGCCTCTGTGTTTCCTGTCTTTCCAGACCCATTTAGAGATCACTTCTTCCACAAATACTTACCCTTTGCTGAAAATTTGCTGAATCCTCAAAATGCTGTATCAAAACCACTTTTACTCATGTTCTGTCTTATAGTAATTTATATCTAGTAAACTTAGATTTAGAATGAAAAGTCCATAACTTTTTGTTTTATAGAGGATGGAAGTACATAACTTAGTGACTGAGAACATGGACTCTTGGAATGAAACTGCTGGGGTTCAAATCCTTTACTATCATTCAGTTCTTTCACACTGGGAAGTTTCTTACCTCTCTTGGCCTTAGTTTCCTAGTTTGTTACATAAGCTTAAAAGTAGTGCCTACTTCATAGGGGAACTATTGTTAATCATTAATGCATATACAGTATTTAGAGTAGCACCTGACACATGGTTAAGCGTTCAATGGATACAACTCTGCTTGCTTTTGATTAAGGTCATATTTTGTGACAGTTTGTCTGTTGAGTACTGGATATGGACCTAGATCCATCCTTGTATATTTTGATGATAAAAAAACTTTTATCTAGCATTCCAGTTGCAAAATCCCTCCTCCTCTTTTCACTCTGCTGGGTTTCTTTTTAGCTTTGCTTTAGGATGCTTCATTTTGTTGCTTGAATTACCAGAATATTCTGGGGTTTTTTAATCCTTTAGATAAAAAAACAAATATGTAACCCATCTGAAGTTCTGTAAGATGCATGATAAAAGTGTAGAGATCAATTTATTTTTCTTTGCATTTAACATTATTGTACCAGAAACATTTATTTGTTATTCTTTTCCCTATCTGTTATTTCTGCACATTTTAACAGCTTATTGATTTGTAGCTTTAAAAAATATTTTTCATTTGTCTGTTTTTTTGTTTTTATCCAGTATCAATAGGTTTAGATAATTTATTATTACAATTATTTTTAATAACAGTACCCTCTCCCAGTATATTTCTTAATTCTATATTATCCCTTGGAAATATTACATGACATTGTACTAAATTTATGAATTTAGTTTAGGTGCTGTTTTCATTTTCAATTTTATTAAGTAGTGAGTTGTTGTTGTTGTTATGTGCCATTGAGTGGTCTCCGACTCATAGCAACCCCTCCCTTGGGTTTCCGAGGTGGTACCACTACGGGAGTAGATTGTCCAACCTTCCTTCTGAGGTAGTGAGGGGTGGCTCTGTTTGTTCTTCCTATCAATGCTTTTTCCCCCCTTCCTTTTTTTCTCCTTCCTTTTTATCCTTTTCTCTTCCACTTATTTTTTGCACCCTTAATAGTTATTATTCTGTAGTTCTTTTAAATCCTCATTAAGTTAATTACCAAGTATTTTTGTTTGTGTAAATGAGATTACTCTTCATAACCCCTGTTAATAAAACAACACAAAAAGCTAGCTCATTTGCTGTCTAGTTGATTCCAACTCATAGTGACCCTGTAGGGCACAGTGTTGTTGTTGTTGTTATGTGCCATTGAGTTGGACCCGACTCACAGCGACCCCTCCTTGGGTTTCCGAGACGATATCACTACGGAAGTAGATTGCCCAACCTGTAGAACTGCCTAATAGGATTTCCAAGGGTGTGTACTTTATAGAACCAGACTACCACATCTTTCTTACACAGAGCAGCTAGTGGGTTTGAACTGCTGACTTTTAGCTTAACCAGTGTGCCTCCAAGGTTCCTTACTCCTGTTAATGTTCTTGTTGTTGTTATGTGCCATCAAGTCGGACCCGACTCATAGCGACCCCTCTTTGGGTTTCCAAGGCAATATCACTACGGAAGTAGATTGCCCCATCTTCCTTCCCGAGGAGTGGCTGATGGGTTTGAACCGCCAGCCTTCTGGTTGGCAGTCAAGTGCCTTAGGCACTATGCTACTCCTGTTAATAGAGTTGTTTAAATGACTGTTACTACTTAAGTAACTGAGATGACATTCTAGTATTATTGAAGTTTATAAAATATATATAAAGGCTTCAATATTTGCTCATGCATGTAATTTCTCTTTAAAAACAATGTCATACATGTAGAGCTGTGTTTTTATACAACTTGACATAATAGGAAATGGTAAGCATCAGGGCCGAATTAAGGCTTCTGTGTGCCCTTAGTACTTCAGCCTTCATAAACCCCTTCCTCCATAAAAGATAATGAAACTATTTTGTGACTGTGTTGTTATAAAGATAAATATACATTAATATGACATACTTTTTGACCTAAACATTCATTTTTTCTTTTTTTTTAAAAAATTAAAACATTTTTGTGGGTCTCTAAAATTATTTGAGCCCCTAAACACTGTGTCTACCTATTGTGCCTTATGGATAAGCATTACAGAATTGGGTTATATTCTCAGACTAATTTAGTAATAGAAAATTACTGAGCTTTTAAGGAGAGCAATGAACTGTGGGATACTGGAGGTAGAGTTCCTAATATGTCATTTTAAAAGTCTTTAATCATTTTATGATTAGTTTATATGGAAAACATTAATTTATATGGAAATCTGGTTGATGTTCTCTGGGAAGCTAGGTAGACAGTATGGGATTCAGATGGTAGGATAAGAATATTAAGCAGTGTTTTATGTTGTCTGTAAGATATTCTAGATACCTGATAGGCATTGGAGAACACTGAGACATGAAATTGGAATGAGAGGCTAAATGGGACAAGTTTTCCTGAGACAAGTTCAGATGGTGTAGGTTGACTTACAGGGAAGG